GTGTTCTAGACCTGAGGCGTTTTGGGTGATCAATTTTTTCTTTTTCTTTCTTTTCTTTTTTTCCTTTTTTTTTTTTGGCCATGGGAATGAAATTTGTAGATTTGCGTCCACCGCCCACATGCCTAAAAAGCTACTGCACGAAAATTTTCATTATTTTGAAAAGCTCATTATTTTGAAAAAAAATATACTTCGTTTTAAAAAACGGACTTTCTAAGTCGTAAACAGACAGAAAAATGATTTATTCATCACTAATCACTCGTCGTGAACACCGAGCGAAAGCAGGCCTGGCCACATCGCACCATGATCGCTGATCACTGCTGAGGTCGTTTACGGGTCAAATCTATCTTTCTGACCAATAGGAAATCTCGTATGTTTAAAGAGGTCTTAAATGTAGAAAAGGATCTGTTTTATAGGCTAGTGTACATTTATGACTGTAAGCATTGTTTCTTGAGAATAAATGTAAAATTACCAATGTCGCTGCTTGTGGACAGCATTTATAAAATAATAATGAATAATGAATAATGAAAAAATGCCTGTGTTTTCAAAATTTCGGACACAAATCTACAACTCTCATTCGCGTGGCCTTTTCTAAAAGTGGGGGCCGGGGCAAACCTGGCACCCCTAAATCCACCCCGGCTATAAAAATGTAGTATTTTTATTTATTATTATTGTATTTCACAAATTTGGCCCTTGCCAAACTTGACCCTTGATAATAAGTTTTTCCTTAAACTTGTTAATTGTTATTATCAATATTTTTATGATTATTGAACTTGATCTTTTAAAATTCAATAAAGGTTTCAATTTGGTTTTTTTTTTAAGATTTCATCACAAATTGCTAAGCTTCATTTACTTTTTTAGGAGTTATGGAGTAACGTTTGGGAGCTGGTCTACAGCATCCGTGGCCTATTCTACAGGAGATTAACTATGGCAGATCAGAAGTCAGAGCAGAAGAACACAAGTGACCAGATTATAGAAAGGCTCCCTCTAGAACATCCACTGCCGAAGGAGATCCAGAGGCTGCCGAAAGATGACACAGTCTGCAAATTCTGTGGGATTAGTTACTTCATACATCATGAGGTCAAAGCATTGGAGGAAAAGGTCAGGTAACAGTGGGTACTCCAGAATTCAAAGTAAAAGGGTCCCAGGGAGTGAACTTTATAGATGGAGGTTCCAGACCACCTCAGCCCCAACATACAGTAGTTGAGTTTGATGTACAAAATCTTACAGTATGTCTGGCACCTCTAGATGGCTGGAAATGGTTTTTACAGTTACTTAGATTGAATGCAATTTCTGTTTCCCTCTGTATTTTCCATTTTCAACAAATTAGGGATACCATATCTCTAGGATTATTTTTGTTGTAGGATAATAAATAAATGTAGGTTTGTGGTACAAGTCTCTGGTATTAATCATTTGAATTGTTTATGAAATTTCAGGTCATATCATTAGAAAAGGACTTGGTTGATTATCAAGCAGCTATTGAAAGGGAAGTGACTTTAAAAAATGAAATCAAAAGCTGTCAAGAAAAACTTGCAAAAAATCAAGCCTTGATTAAAAACAAAGAAGAAGAGTAAGATTTAATACTTGATACTTTAAAATACACTGTTATTCATCCCACAAGAAGCAATTCATATTATGTTAACCCTTTCCAGTCGTATGGCGTCACAACGATGCCCTCTTTGACCATACTTTATAGCGAAGGGCTTCGTACGTATGCCCTGTATAGATTTCATGTAATTATTTTATAGCTAGGCTGCCCTCTATAGAATTTTTTGAGAGTGATATAGGTATATTTCTGTAGAGGGCCTCCTGTATTCAGACCAAATAAAATGCCTGCGCCCAGTAGAAACCCGACATTTAGTGTAGATGATGTAATTTCTTAGCTTTGGTATAGCCTCAGGCAATGGTAATGGGGCAGACTGGAAAGGGTTAAAACTATCAAATTTAATTATGTACTGTATTGTAAATGATTTAATATACAATGCCTCTTAAGTCACCCGTAAGTCACAGGAGTCTTCCGGAAATCGGGACGGATTCCCGCACATGCACAGATTTTCTAGGAAATGACCCATCTTTCGCAAATTCATAATATTTGAACATTTTTACTACTATACTTATCAATTGTCTCCAATACCATGTGCAGAAAAATATAAGGTGTGTTAAGCTCATTTAAACAGATATTCCAGAAGTAACACTTGTAATACAGTAAGTGCTTTCCTTGAATAAACACTGCTCTCAAATAACAAGTTTTTCGGCTACATACTGCTCATGAATTAGTGCCATGGCTGTTATGTGAGATAAATAT